GAGAGAGAGAGAGAGAGAGAGAGAGAGAGAGAGAGAGAGAGAGAGAGAGAGAGAGAGAGAGAGAGAGAGATTCTGATGTGAACTTTTCCCTCGTGTTTGCAGAGGGGGTGCAGGCGGGAGTGAAGGCGGCAGTTGTGGCAACAGTACTTGCAGCAGTGCCGACAATCTACATTTGTAGAACTGTGCCATGGGCAAAGGCCAATCTAAATTACACGGCACAAGCACTCATCATCTCATCAGGTGAGGTAACTCTGCGGGTACTTTTATTTTAAATGGGCATGCTTGGCCAGAGAGAGATTGCTGTGACAGGAGGCTTTTGAGATCAGTTTTGAATGATGCCTGCCAGCCAAAAGTCATACGTTCTCCAGCTTCTTCCGGATAAGTCTAATTTAGCAATCGAGATTGGCCTGCTCCCTCCTCAAAATCCAATTTTGAAGTTTTTTTATGCTTGAATTCTGATGCAATGTAGTCTACGACTTTTTGAACGAAATAAGAGTTCCTGATACACACATAGTCAAAACGATGCTTTTTTGCGGACAAAAGCAGCGTAGTATGCAAAATGATTGAAAGAACTATTACCGAGGCTCCTTGCGAAGTCTGCATGATGTTTGTTTATTGTCTTTCCCCTAACTGCCTGAGGACTCAGGGCATAACCCGGCAGCCAGGCGCTCTGGAAACCCATTGAAAACCCAGTTTCTGGAGTGCCCATGGGCGTGCCGCCAGGCTTGGGTGTGGAAAAGCCTTGGAAGATCTCGCTGGAGCCGCATTGTGGGGTGCAGGAAATGGATATCGATATCCAAAAAGGAAAGGAAAAAAGAGCGCTCCTGAAACGCTGCAACGGTACGTACGTCAGCCGAAGCTCCCATGACAGCGCTGGACACAGGTGGACCAAATAATCAGCCACTCAACGGCGGGAACCGTTGAAACAGGCACACGAACCGCTGCTGCACCAACTACAGGTCTAGTATTCGCTACATTGTCGGTCTAGGAAGCCCCTCGCATCGGATGCACTTCTGCTATCCAGTGGTTAATCGTGGCCGCCCATCTTTCATTGATGGAGGTGAGGTCATCCATAACATGCTCCGCATACTAAAATGCAGCTGTACAGACTTTGTCAATTTCATGCCCCCTCAGTACACTCCTGGAGAGAGGCCTCTCTACCTCTCGCTAATTCGACTCCTTTTCTTCAACTTTTCCATGCACGTGTGACCAGACTCTTGTTCCTAAATCGACAACCTTCAGTTCTTGACCTTCTTCTCTTTTTCCTCTGCGGCTGCTATGAAATTCCTTCGCCTGCTTCGTTCTTTTGTCTATTTCCTCGAGTTTCTCATCCTACTCTTTTTTTTTCCTGTTTGTCAACTACATCTCTCAGTGGTTCAGGATGTACTCCGTCTCCTGGAGCGCCTGATGGACCGACAGTAGAAAAAGTCTGCATCCGAGTCTGCAGATTTCTCCTCCGTTTGGGTGTCGTTGGCCGTGGTCCATGCTGCAGGGCTGTTACATCTTCGAGTCACACGGGTCCTACCGGACCCGACTTAGGGCCGGAGGGACACACCAGGGCCTAAAGGCCCGACCTTTGAGGGTCACAGGCCCTAAAGGCCTGATTTTGCACTTTGAGGGTCAGAGGCCCTAAAGGCCTGATTTTGCACTCAGCCCAGCGGGTAGGCCCAAACGACACTTTGTTTGGGCCTGGCGGCGCTCTTGAGGCTGCCACCCGCCGATGGAGGCTGAACCGTCCATCTGGACGGTCCAGGGTCTGGCCTGGCCTCGCAGCATTGAGGCCAGACCATGGCCTACCGGTATAAGTACCGGTACCTGCCTCAGTAGAGGCATCGACCTACCGGCACTATACCGGTACGGTATGGTCAGCGCCAGAGCGCT